AATGAGAACTGATGATTGGAGAAATCAACTTTCCAAGAGCCTTTGACCTCAACTTTCAATGAAGGCTGTTGGGAAAACTGAAAATTAATCTGTCATGAGATAAAAGATAGCGTTGCGTCATGGATGAAAGATAAAAAACAAGGAAGAATTAAAAATAGCATATAAATCATTAGTGGTAGTAAAATGCATCAAAACATTGTGACAAGACTATCCTTAGGCATAAGCCAAGAATGTATATTTATATCCTAGGAATGGAAATAAATTAATGCAACAGTAGTTGCCACTGATTCAAAATCAAATAGAAAGAAATTTWAAAAAAACATGATTGTAGAGACCATCTGGCTTATGATTTTGCTTCTGCTGTATGATTCTTTGAAGGAAGGAAGCCCTCTTTCAACTTTTTTTTGTCCGCAGCACAAAAAGCAAGCTAGAAGTGTTCATCCTAAAATGCACAGCACAGCTGAGCACTGTTCTGCACACTCCGCTTGACTTTACAATCACCATCAATTAGTTTAATATCTCCTTTACCTTTTTGCCTGCTGTATCTCCCTCAGCTGACTGAACTCCCTCAAGAAGCCAGATAAATTTCCAGAAGAAACTTGTGATGTGGTTTCCTTCAATTAGCTCATTAAATTTACACACTCAAATCCCTTTAGTCTTAAAGTCTATGAGCCTGTGACATTGTCTTCTGTTAAACCCCTCTTTAAAACTCATCTGTGTCATGTCATCTTTAAATCATTCCACCGCAGCCAGGCAGTTGGGCCGATCACACCCAATTAAACCTCWTGATGCTTTCTTCATCTGCCCCTTTATTACTCAAAGAACAGGCAGAGCTCTTGAAGACAGACAGTTGGCTTTAACTTAGTTTTTTTAAACTCACACAGACAGCACCTAGCCMAACAGTCTCTGGCTGCTTTCCAAAGCCTCCGGCAAAAAAGGCAAAACGCAGCAGGACCCCTGAGAGGAACAAGTGACAATCCATATGTGGCAGTACAAATTCAACATTAACGACATTATTCTAAGTTTAAGTAAATTTTGCGAGTTTTAAAGTTCTAAAGTAATGATCCCCATGGAAAACAGAGATCTGAACATCTTTGGCAGCTGAGCAATGCCTACAAACAAACAGCAGTATTTTTGTGTTACTGTTCTCAATGTAGAGCATGCTTGGATGGCAYTCTACACCATCCAAGATGAGAGATAATGAGATATCTCACACAGAGCAACACAAGTAACAGTAATCTCATCTCAATCTCTCATCTGAAGCAAAAGTCAGAAGGATTTAAGGTAGAGGAACAAAAATAGCTAGAAACATGGGCACATGCTCATTATTTGGGTGGGGTTTTTTTCTAAATAAGTGTCCCATAAAGAAAGCCCAGTTACAAGAAGTCGCTTACCAGATCTGTAATGAAAACAAAAACCAATGGATTTAACTCTGATAATGACAATAATAAAAATTTGAAAAAAAAMCCAAACCTTATATAAAGACATCAGAACATGCTGAGATGAGACCAGAAGCCAAGAAAGAAATCATTTCATCAATTCCTCGAGAAGCCTGAAGCAATGTTCTAGATGCTTGCTGCTGTAAATGCCAGCATAAGGACATACTGTCTCTAAGCCAGTCATGTTGTAGATGATGCATATTACTCGTGGACAACAATAGCTCAAAGCAACATAACTGGAAACATGACTCAAGTTTGATCCAAACTAGAACACCACATTCTGTTGATAACAACAAATTCTCCCCCACGATTCTCCTGATGGARAATTATAAGCTCTCATGTACCACACAGGGCTCCTTTAAACTTGAAGAATTTGTTCAAATTGGTACTACTCTACATGCTTTCAGCAAAGGGAATATGTGAAGATTGGTTATATCACTCATCATATTCTGTAAGAGAAACTCTTCTTACAGGGATGACAGTGAATGCAAGAAGGATGTCACAGACATTCACGTCAAAACAGATCTCCAAAACTTAATACTACAGGAGCTAAACTGACCTGAAACATGAACCCTGCTAAAATAAGGACTAAACTGGAACATTTGAGCACTAAGTGCTAAAACCCAGAATTCTATATGCTTGTGTGGGAGGATGGTGAATGTATCCCTTTACTATTTTTCTTAATCAACTGTACAAAAGTTTGGGTAATTCAGCRTTCAACCACTGGGACCTATAAAGGTTTAGTTTTAAAGAAGGGAAAAAAAGCACGTCTATTGCTTGTCCTCTAGCACACAGGAGCCAATCCAAAACTCCWGAGAAACCCTGAAAAAGGAATTACTACACCATAAAATAGCTTTGATCAGTGAGGGGCATAAGACTAATTTTAAGGCTTAATATAGTTAAGCTTGCAAAACAATTATTTTCAACTGGTTTTCCATTTCAATTGGTTTAATATTCTGTAGAAGGATGTAGAGCAGTTAGTCATCCACCTCCACAGGGGGGAAAAACTGGCTAAGTGCAGACTGAGAAAGGCAAGAAAAAAWATTTTTCATTATTAAAAAGAAATTTGAATACAGGTAATTGTGTTTGGGTTATACCATGAGAATGCAAGCATGAAGTGCTACAACACCCTTGCCTCACTTCTACATCTCTTGCTTCATACAATTAATAAGCTGCCATCACTTACACTAGTTTTTTAAGGAGCAAACGGCAAGGAACAGCATGTGGGCTTCTGGAACAATGTAGCAATTTTGTACTAAAAGTAGTATAATAAAACCAAATTGCCAAATGGCACAAAAATGTAATTTGCACAACAAGCTTTCTATTTGGCTCTTCAGCCTGCAACCTATTTGGTCTGAACTGCCAGTATTCTTCAATCTTTGGGCCTCCAAAGTTTCTTATAAATAATTAATTACAAATATTTAATGCGCAATTACATAGCATCAGCTTTACCTGAGTGGTATCAAGTCAGAAGCCGATTTTCACTCTTCTGTAATGTAAAACTTCATATAATATCCGCACACCATTCATTGCTTCAGACTCTGAAAGCACTGCTGAAGAAAACCTAAACCATCTTGGCATCTGGACTGAAATTAGCTGCTGTTAAGTWAACCCTAAACCAAAGTGGACTTACTTACTGTTTTGCATTTTAAACTTATACCATTTAAACAATTTATTTTACAGCACAGCCCTTATACACAGTTTTTTGAGCGCAACTGACAGACCAACAAAACGTGGTCCCAAACACCAAAACCACAAGAAGGGACCAGACSTTGTATAATTACTCTCTTTTTCTTCAGAACACAAGCCTTTCTGCCTCCCACCATTACTCTCATACTCACTTTCTTTCTCCTGAATAATCTAAAAGTAGATGAAAAGTATCCGTTCACAAGGCCAACAATGCAGGGATTATTTAAAAAATTTACATAATAGTCAAATTTATTCTTACATTAGTGAAGCAACAGAGCTTCCTCTTCCCTATGAGAATACTCTCACAAATTATGCTTGACAACAAGGAAAACACAAAAATCCCCACTCTGCAAGTCTCATTCTATTAAATACCTAAGTTTGTCCCTTTTTAAGAGTATTTAATTTTGTTTCCTTTTCAGCCAGCCTGCCTTTTCTCAGCCATAAATCTACACACCAACTTCCTTTTTCCTCTGAGTTTCTATGCTGCTTATGCTTCTGTTGTTCATTTCAGATCCTGTTCTCCTTCCTATTCCTACACTCTGAAAACTCTTTCACAACTACTAATTTTGGATCCTCACTCATGTCAGTGTTTGCAACCAGGAGTCACAGCTTGGCATGGAAACCCAGAACCCTCCATCTTCTGCATGGCAAGCTCTTCCAAACCGCTGCTGAAGCATTCAAGCTATGTGAAAAGCCTCCTCACATTGCCCACTTCAAGCACTTCAGGGTAGGTGAGCCTGGTCACTTAAGTACTACTTTCCCAGGGTCCTAACACTTAAAAGGCAGCCACCTACRTTATAGGTGCAAAAGTTTTTTGAAGTACAGGGCGTCTGCCAGCCAGCAGCACATAATTATAACTTCTCCACCCTTTAAAGCTGCTGCCCAGGATACAAAAATACTTATTTTTTTCAACAAAACCTCAGTGACATAGGGCACAATCCTTTACCACCTGCCACAATCCTTTACCACCTCACGGGCCACCTGATGGATAACCCTCTAGTTAAAGMACCTTTTTTCCTTCCCTAAAACATGCTTTAATATATCTAAATTCCTGACTGTTTGTGAATAACAGTTTTTAGGTCAAAAGAACGGCCTGCTTTCTTGCCACTGCTCTGAGCTATCCTAACAAGCACATGAACAGAGTGACCCTCTGAGCCTCTCTTAACTCCCATCACCTGCAGCACAGCAACCTGACTGAWGATGGTCATCACGAGGCACCGAGGACCAGCCGGGGAAGCTGTCTCCTCTGGATGAAGATGTCTCTTCCATAGGAAGATACCTTTTCTCTCCGCGAACAGTTTCCCGCAGTTTGACCGTCCAGGCTGTGCAGATGATCCCACCTCAAGGCGRGCAGAGCAGCAGCCCTGTGCAGCTTCACGGCGTGGCACCCCAAGCACGACTTCAGCCAAAGTTGCGTCTCTTCACCCATACCAGTGGCGCCACACAACCCTCCCAGCTCCCGTGAGAAACCCGGGACACACCTCACGGGCCACCCGGGCATCCCAGGCCCCTGGCACCGTTGCTCCAGCCCTGCCATCCCTACGCCACAGGCCGAAGGGACACGCTTGGGATGGGGGCCCAAACAACGCRCTGGGAAGAGAGGGGGCAACACCACCCCGTCCTTACGAAACGGATTTCTGGAGGAAGGCGGTAGCAAACACCCAYTGCCACCCACCAGGGCTGGCTGAGGGGCAGCGGCACCGTCACCCCYCAGGAAAGAGGAGCCAGGGAGGAGGAGGGATTCCCCCGCCGCGGGGAGAGAGCACGAAGGGCTGCGGACAGGGAGAAGGAGACGGCGGTGGGACGGTGGCCCCCGGGGCTGGGGCAGGAGCCGGGGCCGGGGTAGGAGCCGGGGCCGGAGCGGCCACTCACAGAACTCGGCGATGTAGTAGGAGACGGCGTAGTTCTCCTCGCACCACTCCAGGGTGGAGGTCGGCGGGCCCCAGTAACCCTCCCGGTCGGCGGCCGGAGCCATGGCGGTGCCCGCTCCAGGCTAGAGCGGAGCCAGGGCACAGGGAGAGCGCAGCGAGAAGGGCGCCGGGCCCGGAGCGCAGCAGCGGCGGCGGCGGCGGCGGGAGAGCGGGCGGGGCCGGGGCTGGGCCCGCCCAAGCGGGGAGGAGCCGCGGTCACCATGGGGACGGGCTGCGGCCTGCCGGACGGGGAAACGGGGGCGGAGAATTGCGTTGTGAGTGTTCGGAGTCTGTGGAGAAACACCGGCGCGGGGCACGGTTGCCCCTCAGACGACCTGCGCGATGCCTCTGTGGGGATGACGTGAGATGTGCAACATCACGGCGCTCTCCTCACCCACTTTTCAAGCCGATCTGGGGGCAGTGAGGAGGTTTTCTTCCTCAGCTTTCCACTCGGTTTTCCTTACAGACTTCATGGAAGGTTCGTAATGCGGGCGAGGTAGCGTGCTGCCTTCACGTTGCTAAAACGCAGCTTCACAGTATCGTAGAATGGAAGGGACCCTAAAGCTCACCCAGTTCCAATYCCCTGCCGTGGGCAGGGATTCCCTCCACTAGACCAGGCTGTTCCAAGCCCCATCCAACCTGGCCTTGGACACTGCCGGGGATGGGGGAGCCGCAGACAATCTCTAGACAATCGGTGCCAGTCCCTCACCACTCTCACAGTGAAAAMAATTTTCCTGAAGGCAATGAAGCGTCAAGTGTTCCTCATACTCGTGGGATGGGAGAAGGAAGGAGGTTTTTTTTTATAGCACTGCCTGCTAAACCGGGGTTTTCCTGTCATCTGATGCCTTATTTAGTTTCCTCTGTGCTTACTACGCGTACTATACTTACACCCATAATATGCAAAGTGCTTCTCAAGCAGAGTTGGTATYCAGAGGCAAGTACAGTCTAAAAATGGAAAGACTTGAGACACAAGGGAAAATGATAAAGTACACCAGTAAAGGTCTGATAATACTGTATGTGTTTTATGTTTCAGAAGGCGATCCAAAGACTTGGGAAGCTTCGGGCAGACAGTGGGGTTTGTACACTGTGCTTGCATTCTGCTGGCCAGCAGAATTTATTATACCTGCATATAAACACACAAATTTCTTTTTTCACATCTTATTTCTTCTCACCTTAACTTCTGTAAGCTAAGAAATGCCAATCTAAACACAGGCCTTCCCTACAGTAAATACTGCTGTTTCAGAATGTATACATCTATCTTGAAGACTATCTTGCCTTCTGAAGTTCAGTTTGTATATAATTGCTTCCAGCATCAGGTAGAGATGTATTTAACATATATCACTACTCTTATAGTGCTATAAAGCACTAAAAGTAAAATTTATTTTAATCATGGCAGTGACAGTGCACTTGAATTGTCAAAACATCATCAAAATCCTTGTGGATTTTTATATGCATACATGTTTTCCTATATTTGTTAAACCTAGATTACTTCCCAGATTTAGACTTTCAAGACTGGGGTCTGGAAGAGTACCAGACTGGCAGAGATGCACAAAACTGGCTGTAAACATTGAAGAGGATTCTGGTCTGCTTGATGCACTTTTGCTTTTCAGACTTTTGAAGGTTTAGTTTAAATAATCAGGAAGTTTGTAGGGCTCTGATCTATCTTTCGTTCTCATGATAAACCATTTTAAGAGTAGAATATCTTGACAGAAAAAATAATAAAAAAATTAAAATTGCAGTTGTTCAGGAACTAAAGAGTGAACTGTGAAATATTTTAAATATTAACTATTAGTTAAATATTTAATAATAAATATTTGCTCACCAGGAGCAAAAATAGCAACAATGTTGAAAAATGTAGGTGATTTTTGTAATACTGAATTACAGTTTGTTTTAAATAAATAATTAAAGATATTGATGCTAGTTTCTTTTCTCATAATGTGCATACTGGCCACGAGATTTATCACCACAATAGAAAAAGAAGTAATAGAAATAAAATTGACAGACATAAAATTGGCTTTAAAACTGAGCAAGATAAATTAATGAAAAATTGTATGTGGGAGATACCAATAATGTAGGTTGTCATCCATTCTTGATTTCCACAGRAAGACAAGAAAAATGCATAGCTAGCCATTAATTTCAATCACTGGRGAATTTTTATTTATTTGGCACATTTCTGGAGTATTCTTCATCACAAGGTACGCTTACTTCTGACTTATTCTGTGGCTTGGTTCTCTGCTTTTGAACTCTGACAAACCTTTCAGTCACTGTGCTCAAAAGGACAGCATTGAAGAGCCAGTCCCAAACCATTATAATACATGCTTTTTTCTGYCCCTGAAAATGTTTTGTAGAAGTAAACTTGTCTTCCACAAAATCAACTTTTGACTGTTTCCGCTGTTACAGTAATACATATTAAAATCATTACTTTTCCTCTGTAACCTTGAGCTATGCCTTGTCCTGTCCACTACTGTWCTGGATATAATGTGGCAGCCTGAAGTTCTTTGCATCTAAATGTGTTCTATCTKATGATAGGATCAAACCTATCTCTGTCCAGGTGTTGGATTTTCTTTGTCTGATCTGTACAACCTATGGAGAGAATGTCTTGTTTCTGAAATAACAAAAACCAAAYGCAGAGCTCCTGAAATGCTTATTTTCAGCATTACTGAAAATGTACGTGTCATGCCATGGGGTAGTTTCCGGTGGCCTCAGGTTTCCTGTGGCAAAGGATCCTCTTTCCATACAGTTTAATGTTGCCCTGAAACCTCAAGGCTTAACTGATCAGTGGGTAATTGAATCATGTCAGTTTACACCACTAGAGGGATATRTCCTGTCACTTTAGTGAGTGGATCCAGTAGTATTTTGCTTGGGAATGGGAAAGGACTGTTGTTCAAAAATGGCACGTATTCAGCTCTTCGTGATCAGGTAAATTCGGGGAATAACASCTGAGGAACATTTTTATCTCTCTGCTCGGGGCAAACACTTTATCAAGGCTTGTGCTGCTGGTTGTTTTATTTCTGTGTAAAATGAGACTAAATGAGCAGATAGTTTAGAACTCGTTATGGAGATATATGTTGGAGAGGATTGTACTTATTCCCTCTCATCAGTGTATTTGTGCAAAGGGAAAGATAAAATTGATATAAAACCCTGAAGATGTTTTCACTGCTTGGTTCTCATAATGTTAAAATAAGTGTATCAGTCACAAAAATAAAACTGAATTTTGTGCTACAAATTGCCTGTTCAAATTTTCAATTTTCAATTGCCTGTTCAAACAGGTAATTATCCCAGAATGGTTTGGGTTGGAAGGGATCGTAAAGATTCTCTAGWTCCAACCGCGCTCCCCCMTCCCCTGCCATAGGCAGGGACACCTTCTAGACCAACTTGCTCAAAGCCTTGAACAATTCCAGGCATGGGACATCCACAGCTTAACTGGACAACCTGTTCCTGTGCCTCAGCCCCCTCTAATAAAATAATTTCTTCCTAGTATCTAATCTAAATCTGCCTTCTGCCAGTTCAAAACCATTTCCCCTTGTCCTATCATTCCATGCCCTTKTGAAAAGTTCTCCAGCTCTCTTGGAGCCCCACTAGGTACTGGAAGGAGCTATAAAATCTCCCTGGAGCCTTCTGCAGGCTGAACAATCCCAACTCTCTCATCTGGTGTCCATAGCAGAGGTGCTCCAGCCCTCTAAGAATCTTACTAACTTGGCTCTCTTCTAAGACCTTTATTTTATTGGGTCATAGCATTTACACCATCTTATGAGCGGAATCCTGAGTCGTGACTCTCAGTTCTAAAGTCTTACTTTTCGTGATTATATTGGTTTCTAAATACTGCAGCTCCAAATGCCATTATTTGCAGCTTTCTGAGTTGTCTGGTCTATACTGGTTACAGAAAAAGGGCATCAACACCTCTAGCTTCTGCAAGCCTGATCCTGTGTAACGTGTAATTTATCCCACTGATTTATATGCAGATAGTATGAGTAAGATGCTAAAAGTAGGATTATAAGAGGTTGAATCAGACCCTTTGTAATGTGCCCTGAAGTTGGAGATGATGATAATTACACCTGGAGTAATACCACTGTAAGTTATTGGCACCTGAATGAGTGAAAAAGAGAAGTTGTTTCCTGATATGGAGAAGGATCTGATCCAAGAAACTTTAATGGGCTYTAGCAGACCTGATTGCCTGCTCATTGCTAGGTAAAGCAGAAGTGCCTGTGCTGGCATTAAATGGAGTCAGAGATTTGTAAATTATCATCAAAGGGACTCATGTCCCAGAGCCATATAAATATTCATAATTTCCCCAGTGTAATATGACTGTTCTTAGTCATATTCTCAAGGCTATTGTATGCATTTTGGCAACTGATTGCGGTGGTGAATGACAGCATCACAGATTGCAGCTGTGTGAATGCTGTGAGCGCCCAGCWCTGATGGGCTCAGATATGAATCCAACCACCTGAATGGTTTTATAAAAGATTGATGGAAACAGGGGCTCCTGCATGCAGATATTTAGGGAAGCAGGTGTGACTTGCTGGGTACAGAACATTCCCTCATGCAGAGAAAGGGTGGTTCAATCCTACACCCAATCCTCAAAGCAGATTTTAGGGAGGTATTTTTTCTCTCMTGCCCTTTTTCTAGCAAAAGCCTGTGTGCTCAGGTCAATCAAGATGTATCCAAAATGCTTTCAAATCAGAAGCTGAGGCAGGTATACATTCACAGCAGGCCCCATTATACCAAAATGAAGATGCTTGCTTTCTTGTAACAGTGGATTAAGCTGAAGCTTTTCTTTACCTGGTGGTTACTGCTCTGCAAGCACACAGCCTGCGTAGGTGTCTCCAGGCACCTGCGGCTTTCAACYCATTGTATTAGTAGGAAATAAGATTCATAGCATTTTGCACTAGTTTTCAGGGTTGAGACTGGTAAGGGAGGTGATAAACCTGCTGTTTGTCCATTCCCAAGGGAGAAGCAGTTGACACAGGAAGAATTGTGGAAGGAGAGCTCTTCTCCAGTTATCAGAGCTTAATTCACCCTTATATGTGAATCAGAGCCCTTACCAGCTGCAAAATATCTATGGTAAATGTATACCAGTTTAAGCTGARATATCAAATGAAAATCTGTCAAGGGAAGGAGACTTTTCAAAAGCACAAATGGTGTCTGCCTCAATCTCATTGACTTTCAGAGGAGTCTAA